TCGAGCAACGGTGGAGACGGAATTTCAAGCAGTACAACATTTTGCGGCAACAACAAAATGTGAGACATTTATTGTTTTTATGTTTATTTATTGTTTTTATGTTCAGTCTCAACTGTTACGAAGTTGATGTGCAGTTAATAAGTGCAATAAATATTTATACTGGAAAAGAAAATCGTGAGAGAATCGTGATCTCAATTCTAAGCCAAAATAATCGTGATTCTCATTTTATGCAAAATCGTGCAGCCCTAAATAATACCATTCAAACAAGCATGATGGAATAGTGGAAAGTCCACGCAACAGGTTTTCCTACAAAGAGTCTTCTTGCTTAGCATTAAATCTGTATCCCTGTCATCAGTTCACCAGAAACTGAAATTGTTCAGTAAAGAAAGAAAAAAAAAATTGTGATTGTTTTTTTTTTTTAATCCATATTGCCCAGATCTACCTTCCAGTACAGCTGATACTAAGCTCTTCCTGATTTTCCTGAACATAAAAAACAGTTTTCATTTCTCCTGCTTTGGAGGCTGTGACCTTGTTGCTTTTTCAGCATTTGTCCCCTTTCAGATCACTTTTAGAACCTGTTAAACAGTGCATACCTAAACACTACATTTAAAAAAACAAAACAGTTTATTGTGAAATGTGATGTGGGAAATAAAATCACCACTATCAGTGGTCACTAATGCACAAGGACTTTTTTGTTCTTGTGCCAAGAATTTGTTTCTTAAGCTGGAAGTTGGATTATATAAAGTGATATATGGTGAGTTTGTGGTGGTTAACACTCACTGGACTGCAGCAAACACGTTGTCCCCCATCTGTGTTATAGTACAGCCCTTCTTGGCTTCATTTTCCCCAACAAACGAAGGGAAGGAGTCTGGAGTATCTCTGGCGGAACAATGAAATTCAGTAAAACAAAGCAACAACAAAATCAGAACCACTTGTGCTCATGTACATATTGTTATCACTATTTTCATATTATTACACACGATGCTCTCTGTCTTCTCGGTAGAGCAAATGTTGGAAGCAGCCTTTGGTGGAAGCTACAAGATTCTAATAAAAGCCGATAGTCACACACTTCAGATGTTATGTTCTATACCTGTAGTAACCAATGTGATGCTGGCTGTTCTCACACCCTGCGAGTATGGTCTGAAACTCTGGTGGGTCATAAAAATATCGCCAGTGAAGGTGGAAGTTCGGCTGGGAATTCTTGGAGTTTTTGTGAGCTCCTGCCAAAATATCAAATGGTCCAACTAGCTGCAATCCCAGCGAGTCTTTCAGAGCACCTACAGAGAGTGACAATATATTGATACAGAAACGAGCTGACACAGAAGCATTACTTACGTGCAAATTATTGATGAAATATTTTACTAAATAGACACACTGTTTTGTAGCACATATCTTATACACCACATAAGTATCTGAGATGGAGATTTTTCACTT